TCAAGAATTTACTTAAATATTCATTAGTGATAGTGGCAATAATTATTTTCTTTGCTTTATTCTTCTCTGGTTTAGATACTAGAATCATACTTATCTCATAAAAGTAGATTGGTGAAGTGACAAAAAGAAGATGAACTAGTCAGAGAAAGACTCCCTATTTCACAAGAAATACAGGAATAAATTGGGCAAAAAACAAAGTCAGATGAATTCATCTAAAACAATATACCATAATTAAGTTCCAAATGGACTGTGGCCCAAAGAACAAAAATAGAAAAGGTCACATTATCTAAAAAAATGGAGGAAGATGGAAGTCAGTATACCTTTCACAATCATAACTAGGGGGAAAATCTTAAACAAGAAATAGAATTAAAAAGCTAAACAATTTCAATCACATGAAATAGAAGAGTTTTTGCATCAACAAAATCAATGAAACTAGGATATAGTAAAGTGTTGATTAGGAGGGAAAAACATCTTTGCATCAATGATACCTGCCCTATGTCTGATACGTAAGAAATAGATGGAATTATTAGTAAAGAATTCATTCCCCAGTAGAAAAGTGGTCAAAGTATAAGAACAAACAGTTCTCAAAAGAGAACTTCCAAGCTATTAACAGCCATACGAAAGAACGCTCCAAATTACTAATAATTAAAAGGTAAATTGAAACAACTCTAAGGTTTTATCTCACAGCCAATAAACTGCCAAAGATGACAAATGACAGACATACTTCATGTTGGAAGGGCTGTAGGATGACACACACACACACTAACAATGTTGGTGGAGCTATGAACTGGTTCAACCATCAAGGAAAACAATTTTGAATTACGTGAAGTGACTAAATGATACATATCCTTTAGCCAATAATGATAACAGAAATTTAGAAAAACTAGTTAAGACTTAGAAGAATTGATGAACAGTGAAGTAATCATAACCAGGAAAATACAATGATCACAAAAATAAAAGAATAAAATTAAATTCTACCCTATATAATTATAATTATTAATCTTTGGTCCTGAAGAAGAGGAGTAGTAGGTGACTATGGATATGGAAAGTTGCATACACTGTAACAGCAGTTCTCAAACTTTACATTCTTAAAAAAAATTGAGAATAACCCGTTTATATTTAATATTCATATTTACCATATTAGAAATGAAAACTGATGAATTTTAAAATATTTAATTCATTAAAAAAATAAACTTATCACATGCTAATTCAACTTTTTTGTGGAAAAAATCCTCTATTTTCCAAAACAAAAAAGTTTGTTAAGAATAACGTAATTATGGGGCAGCTAGGTGACACTGTGTGACCCTGGGCAAGTCACTTAACCCCGACTGCCTCACCAAAAAGAAAAAGAAAAGAATAATGTAATTATTTTATGTATTTTTCCAAATCTCTTTAATGGCTGGTTTAACAGAAAACAGCTGGAGTCTTTGCTGCTTCTCTGAATGTATCTGCGTTCACACTTTTGAGACATGTTGTCTGGGCTGAATTACATGAAGAAAAACCAGCCTTGCATAGTCGGTAATCTGAAAAGGGAAAAAAGTATTTTAAAAGGGAAATAAAATCGTAACATTATAAGCTGGACCTCTTGGTTCTCCTGAAAGGGTCTCAGGGATCATGGGGAATCCATGGACCATACCTCAAGAAATGCCGTACTATAAGATATGGTCAATATGTTTGTTTTGCTTAACTTTTTACTCCATTTTGTTAGGAAGGAAATGTCAATGTGGGGTATGGATGAGATTGACAAGTAAAAACAGAATACCAACAAAAAGAACAAGTGCATATGGATTTACCCCATCAGTCAGACGTGGTAATTAGGACCATCTTGCAGGCTGCACACTGGTTGAAACAGTGCTAGCAGCTTGCTGTTTATGATCTCCACTCTTAAAATAAGAAGCTAAATTTAAATAATTCTTTCAATTCTCTTGGCATTCAATACATTCCATAATGTTACTACAATCATCCTTCTTTCTCACTACTCCCCACATTTTAGATAAAAAGACCATTCCCCAAACACTGGATATGCTCCCTGCTCCTCCTCCTTCCCATTATCTTCCTACCAATCCTACCCATCTCCTATCAAAATATTACCGTTCATTCAAGAACCAGGACCAAAGGCCATCTCCACAGAAACCTTCCTCATTTGATATCTAATCCCAAAATTGTGAGATCTGAACTTCTATAGCACTCTGCACCAATCTTATAGTACTTATCACTCTCTAGCTTATGACATGAGCAAATGTGACCACTCTTGCTTACAGGCTTAAAGACTATTTATTGGTTTCTCCAATTCTAAATCAGTTATGGAACTTAACCTGTCCAAAGAGATTTAAGAGATAAACAGTACGTGTTTGTTGTTTTCATAATAAAGATTCTTCTTTTTTTTTAATAAGATACTAATACCAGTTGTGTGGTTTTTTTAATTTTACTCTTTCCTCATACCAGGTCTGTTTGCAGAACTTTCTGGAGGTATTTCACTTTAAAGCCAATCGCATTAGTCTCAAACCCAGTTACATTCCTTCCATTGGCCAAATTTGTTCTCCAGCATTCCTCATGAACTTTTTTTGGACTTTAACCAACACAAAGTTGCATTTCTTCTTTACACCACGAATTATAGTAAAAGCTAGACCAACACCAAATCTGGGAAACAAATGGCTATCTAAGTAGAGAATTTAGGAAAATCTTTCATTTTCACCCTGAATTATTCCCCCCACCTCCCAATCTACAATTCTAGGTAATCTAATTCATTCTGGCATCGCTAATTCATTTTTCAACCTTCCCTTCCCAAATATAATCTAATAGGACAAAGTCTAAGGCAACACTGTTGTCTCCAAATGTTTCTTCAATTTCTACACCCTTTAAAACCCAATTCAAATCCCTTCTCCATAAAGTCTTCCTAAGACTAACTGTTCTAAAAGGACCTCACAATAAAGTTGTGCATCAGTTTGACCCTAGACAAGTCACTTGACTCTGTCTGCCTCAGTTTCTGCAGTTTCTGATGCATTTAAAACACAGCTTCGAACATTACCACCTGACCGCTAACGAGGGAGAGTCTAGGCTCGAGTCTGAATCCAGTGCAGTGCCCTATTCCCGTGCCCCCTGCAGAGTGCCCGGCAGACAGACCAGGCGCTTTTGAAACGGTTATAGAATACTAAGGGGTTGAACAATTAGAAGACCTACATTTCTATTTAAAAAGCGTCTCAAAATTCTTTAAAAACAAATATTGTTTAATCTAGTCATGAAATACAAAAGCAAATGTTTTTCACAACAAAGCTAATCCAATTTCGCTGATTCCCATTTTAAATTCTAACGGGACTAAAAACACCAGGTGACTCCAAGATGTATGTCAGGAACAACCTGTCGTCAGGAGCACCTTTACTTTTTGCTTAGTTTGCTCTATCAACACAACAGGTACCTAAGACATGATCAATAAAGGTGTGAAATATTTCACCGAAAGATACAAACATTATCCAGTGTCGAGGTTATTTTATTTTTTGCTCCAACTCCGCAAGGATTTAATAACCAACTACCTACTACGAGGCATTAGGCACACAGGATTCATTTACACTTACACATCAAGATCCTCCAGATCTTAAAACTCAAGTGATGCGGAATAAAAGACACCTTAAGAATATAAGCTCTGGGGCGCTAGATGGCGCAGTGGATAGAGCACTGATCCGGGAGGACCCGAGTTCAAATGCGGCCTCAGACACATAATCACCCAAAAAAAAAAAGGTTTCTTAATTCCTCATCATTATTTCCCCGATTGCCTCACCAAAAAGCTAAAATAAATAAGTGAAAAGAATATAAGCTCATTTGATAAGCAAACTCTTAAGTTATACATCTCTTTAGATATTCAATTCTGATTTGGAGAAGGCACAGGTAATAAAACATAAACGAGCGGGAATATGGGGGGAGCGGGGAGCAGAAAAAAGTTGCGCGCTAAGGAAACGATAAATTAAATTAACACAGTTAAGTAAAAGACAAGAGAGCCGCAGCACCCATACGTGCGAAGTGGCAACTCCAACTCCAAGGCCAACTCCGGGCCCGCTCTGCACAACGCTTGCATTACTTGTAACACTTTGCAGGTTTTGGAGGGAAAACATTCCAAGCAGTCGACGCTGCCTCGGGGTGGGGGTGGGGAGGCAGGCTCATCCCCAGCATCACCCGCAGCCTGCCGGGCCGGAGCGGGCCACCTCCGCGGCCTCGCCTCGCTCCCCCGGGGCCTCCGACCGGGCGGCTGCGGCTCTCGAGGCCGTCCACGGCGCGGGAGGGGTTTCCCAGACTGGCCCCACGCCAGGCGCGGGGCCGCTCCCCGGCGGGTGGGTGAGTGGCGGGGGGAGGGGGGGCACGGGTGTGGGTCGCTCGGCCACAAAGCGGGACCTGGGGTGCTGGGGGCCAGTCCCCGAAGCCGGAGGAAGGGCGGGATCCCAAGGGCTAGGGGAGCCTCCGATCCGGCCCTTCCCGCCTAGGTCAGAATTGGGGGGGTTGGGGGCAGCCGCCGAGGCCTCTCTCACCATGGTGCCGCGCTCCGCCGCTGCCGCCGCCACAGCCACTGCACACGAGCTGAGCCGCAGCACCGCCAACAGCCAATCCTCGCGAGAAGAGCCACCGGAAGTCGGCGGCGCCGCAGCGCGAGAGCACCCCCTCGGAGCCCAGAGCCCCATACCTTCAAAGCAGTCGTTGACGCCTGGCTGGCCATCTTTGATGAGGGAGGAAAGCCTGCGGGGAGCCCTTTCGGCTTCGGCGCCGATCTGGTTCTCTCCAGGACGCTGAATGTCAGGCGCCTATGATCAGACATCCATTCCAGGGGATCAGCTGCTCCCGGAGCGACAGAGTTCCAACCCCACAAGCCCAACTCAAAGATGGCGGCTGGCCGGGTCGAGGAGAACCAAAAGTAGGTTATATCGGGGAGAAGACGGTTGTGACCCGGAAGCGACGTTTAGAGGAGGAGGAGGGGGCCGGGGCGGGGAGGGAAATGCCGAGATCCGGAAGTGGATGTCTGGAGGAGGTGCCACTTGGCGGCTACGGCTGCAATGGCGGCGGAGGTGGAGGCTCCCGGCCGAGGCCGGGCAGCCGGGGGGACCCCTGGGTATAGGCCAGAGACTGCTCTCTGTACACGCTTCTGCTGAATCCTCCCCCGAGGTTCCAGTTAAGAGAACTGCGGCCTACGGTCCCTAGCCCTCTAGACACGGAGGAGATTTGGCCGGTGCTGGTGGGCTGCTCGGGGCCCTGGGGTGAGAGGGGGGAGGTCACTGACGGGCGGACTCGGGGTAGGAGCACCCGCGGAGGCGAGAGGTCCTCTGGTCCCCCCTTCCTCTGCAGGCAGTGTGGGCCCCCCCCCCATTCCGTATGCCAGCAGTTTTAGGGCCGTGCCTTTAGGATTGAAGAAATCTTCCCTCACACAGCATCATTCCCCCTAGTGACTTCTTCCCTCCGTAACAACGAATCGAACAGCAGAAGTCTCGCACTCTTGTCACTTGTGGATTAAAGGCTGTGGATAAGGCCGCCAAAAGCCCTCTCTGATACTCTTACCGAGAAACAGTGGTTCTCCCTAGGAGTAGACAAGGAAGAAGTAACTGACATACACCTACTAACGGTGGGAGGCCCAAAGAGCCTGATACCCGAAGTCTCCTCTTTTGGAGCCGCGACCAGTGTTTAAATAACTAAGCACCTTTGGAAACCCCAGGGGGAAATATTACTTTGATGTCCTTTGGGGTAACTAAAGGACAAGAAAATGGATGATTTCATCTCCATTAGTCTTCTGTCGCTGGCCATGCTGGTAGGATGTTACGTGGCTGGAATCATCCCCTTGGCTGTTAATTTCTCCGAGGTAAGACTCTCAATTTTTCCAAGATAGCTGGTGTAAAGTGGAATCGTTATGGGCAGACTCCCTAAACGATGTCAGAACCAAAGGCTTTCTCATGTTGCACAGACTTAAAATGCTAGAAGCATTTAACTAAACCTTCCATACTCTCAAATCCTGAACTGTAGCTTAAAAATACCACCGAGAAACTTTTAAAATGCTAATTGTTTTGATTCTAGTTAAAACCAGTGTGTTTCATTCTCTTGAAAAAAATGCCAGCTTGATTTTTGTAAGGATTGCTAGCTTTTCTCACCAATGTTTCTGAATAAATCTCAGAAATAGAACTTTTTTTAAATGTGCAACTAATGGTAAGGGGATAGAAGTACTGATCATTTAAAAAGTGGATTTGGAAAACATGTGTTTTAGAAACATTCTTTCTTATACTATATATAATATTTAAGTAAACATTAGGATTATTTTTTAGATCCTGAGGATGCTGAGAAGATAGACATCATAGATTCTTAAAATGCCTTGTATGATTCAAAAAATGTAAAATCTACAGAGATAAGACGATAATGCCTCCTTGCTTGGTTAGAGTGGATGGGATTTTGAGTTTAGATCATTTTTTCTTCCATTCTGAAAACTTTTATTAAAGACCTACTTTAGGCAGAATCACCGTGCCAGAAATACAAGAGAAAAGGGACATTGGCAAGTATGAAGTGCCAGCTGTGTGCTAGATACTCTAGATACAAAAAGAGTATAATACATAATCCCATCCTTGAAGAAGCAGATTGCTTAGATGTGGAGATAAGAACTCATGGGATAATCAATTAGTACAAGATAATGTATTGAAAAGTATTACACTGAGTAGTACAAAGTGGTATAAAAGTTTAGAAGCCCTGGCTACAGGGAAGAGATGGGCCTTCACTTCGGCTTACTTTTGTTGGATGGGAAGAGGAATGAATGCATTTCAGGTAAAAAGAATAACTTGAGCAAAGAAATGATCAGAGGAAATTAAAGTTAACCTTTTTGAAAAACCATAAAGGCATTAGCCTGACTAAAGATTAAGTTGTTGTTTCTCTCCTCTTCCAGTCTGTTTGCATACTGCTCAACCTCTAGGAATTAGAATCGAATCAATACTATGGGGAGTGACACATGTGTGGTTCCAGATGGACTCAGGTGGAAAGCCTGTTTTTATTAGAAGGCCAAAAGCTACTCACAAGGAGACACCACAATCTCCACTCCCTCGCCCCCATTAGTCCAAAGATTATCATATATTATATGTGCAGAGCTATAAAATTGCACACCAGAGTGTGATTGTCTAAGGCAGGTTCCCCACCCCTTGTCTAATAAGGCAATAGCCCCCCAAAGAATCCATAGACAGATTTAAGAATGTCAGTGAATTTTAAAAATATGCATTTTTTAAACTGTTTCAGTATGGTTGATTTCCTTTGTAATGTATTTTATTTCATCCATTTAAAAACATTATGAGACAAGGTCCTTGACACAAAAAAAGATCTGAAGTCTAAGGGAATATGTAAAAAGACCACACAGTGCAGAACAAAAGGCCTTCAGGTTGTCTAAAACTTGTACTTAGATAATCATTTCACTTACAGATATAATATTGTATAATTGAATTAAACGGGCATTAAAATTTTCTTTTCCTCAACATAGTTAAAGCTTTCTCAAACTCAATATTTTCCTGAATTATCAGTTAAATAGTTTATATTGTACTAAACTGTTGAGAAATTTCATTTATATTACTTAACACTAAAAATAAATATTTAGGTTCTGTGTTTGTGGTGTTGCTTATAAGTCAATCCAATTAATAGAAACAATGGGAGCACCTTTTTACACTGATGACTTAATGTTATTTTCCTTTCTGAGCACTATGATGGCCCTTTAATGTCTATTATTACTACACACAATAGAAATAAATATATTTGGAGTTGTTAAAAGGGATACATCAGTTAGATGTAACACAGACAAATGTAACCCTTGTCTGGACATTTTAGATGTTAACAGACCATTTCTCAGAAATTGTACAGCTCTTCTTGGGAAAATGATCCTATAAGTATAAGATAAATGCACTGGAAACTTCCATCTAGAAGGGACCAAAAAGGTAAAAATAAAATGGTACAGTGCATTCATTTGTGTATGGGAAATATTTACTGACATTCTTAATACAGGGGCCACTAGGTGGCAAAGTGGATAGAACACTGGCCCTGGAATCCAGAAGACTCATGTTCCTGAGTTCAAATCTGGCCTCCGCACTTACTAGCTGTTTGACCCTAGACAAGTCACTTGACTCTGTTTGCCTCAGTTTCCTCATCTGTAAAACGAGCTGGAGAAGGAAATGGCAAACCACTCCAGTACTTCTGCCAAGAAAACCCCAAATGGGGTCATGAAGAGTTAGACATGACTGAAACAACTGAACAAATGGTGCCTTCATTTGTGTATTGGAAATATTTATTGTAATTCTTTATACAGTGAATTAGTACTTAAATAGTAACTTTATAGATTTGTTTCATGACTTTGCTGTCCCTTGGTTCAGCTACTGACTGCTCCTTCTTAGTCTCTTTTGTTGGCTCATCATACATATCCCATCCCTACCTTTTGGTGTATTCCAAAACTCTGTCCTGGGCCCATTCTCTAGGTAACTTTATCAGATTCTATGGGTTCATTTGTCTCCATGGAGATGACTGCCTATCTCTATGTGTATTAACACATTTCCAACTGATGAGCAAAATATTTTCTCCTTTCTCTTTCCCACTTCCTTCCTACCCATGTTCCAAACTCCATCTTCCTATTGGGGGCATTTCTCGGTCACCCAGGTTCCCAAACCTTAGAGTCAACCCACTCTAATTTACTCTGCAGTTGTAATCAATTGTTAAGCCTTATCTGTTTTACCTCCACAGCATCTCTCACCTGCCTCCTTCTCTGTTCATATAACTTCCACCCTAGTTCAGATCCTTATCCCTCCCCTAGACTACTACAGTGTCTTCCTGGTTGATCTCTCCCTGCCTCCCTCTTCCTATTCATCATCTACACACTTGCGAGAGTGATATTCCTAAAGCACTAGATCTGACATCATTACTCCCCTGCTCAGTAAACTCCAGTGGCTCCCTCTCTGTTCTCTTTAATATCAAATACAAGCTCCCCTGTTTGGCATTTAAAACCCTTCACAACCTGGCTTCAAAGCTCCCACCTACCTTCCCATTTTATTACTCAATTTCACATGCTCTGTTAAGGCCAAACTTGCTTTCATTTTGTTCCTCACGCTATACTGACCCATTTCACTGCCTTTGCATAAGATGTTTTCCACAGCTAGAACGGACTGACTCTTAGAAGCCATCTAAACTCAGTCTTAAATAATATAACCTCTACGAGGTCTTTCCTGATTATTCTCAGCTATTAGCCCCACTCCATCCCCACTCTCAAAATTACCTTGTATTGGGGTGGCTAGGTGGAGCAGTGGATACTCAAGAGGACCTGAGTTCAAATCTGGCCTCAGACACTTGACACTTACTGACCCTGGGCAAGTCACATAATTGCCAAAAAAGCAAAAAAAATCACCTTGTATTATTTAGTATATTTGTGTAAGTTTTGCTGCCCAATGGAATTAAGCTCTTTGACGACAGCGACTGTTTGTTTTGCATCTTTAGCTCCTTAGTATTATGTACAGACTATGTAAAGGCATTTAATAAATGCTTATTAAGTTCATCTTTTCTCAGTGCCTGTTTTACTGATGAGAGATCACTGAGCATAATTTACATGTTTCTATTATTGTGTATCTGTGTCTATAATCTACCTTTCTCATTCTCGGTTATTTATATTTTTCTGCTTTGAAGCCGAGATAAGAGTTGAAAGTTAATTTTCATTAGGAAAATGCAGTTGTTCAGATGTAAATGATACCTTTCTGCCATATTCCACCTTTCAAAGGGTTCTGAGGTTGCCTATGTGGCATTGATATTCTCCTTTGTGTGCTAGTCCCTTGCACCTATCACATGTTATGTTGCTCTCGATGTTCCCTCAGTAAACAAGAATTTATTAAGTACCTCCTTGCTATGTACCAGGCACAGTAGTAGGCCTGGGATATACATAAAAAAGTGAGATAGCCCTTACTCTGGAAGAACTTCTATCTACTAGAATGATCTTGATATTTATCTTACCTTTTGTTACAAAAGTTCAAAATCTTAGAGTTTTAAGGGACCTCAGATATCATTTATTCTGACCCATGCATAAACAGAAATCCTCTATAACTTCTCTGACAAAGCAGTAATCTAGCCCTCATTTGAAGCTACTATCCCTTAATGCAACCCATTCCACTTGATCAGTTGTAATTATTGGTCACCTTTCTTCCTACCTGAAATCTGTGGCTTTCATCTGATACTCATTGTTCTGCCCCTTTTAAAAGGACACCACCACCTAAATCTGGGCCCCAAAATGAAATACTATCTGCTTCCCCTTTCTTCTTCATTAAAAATAATTTTTAAAAATCTTATGTTAGTGCTGATTTCCTACAAGCAAATATTTTTCCTACAAGCAAAATCAACTCCAGGATAAATGAGAAAATATGAGGGAATGAAAGTTACAAAAGTCAGCCCTCCATAGAAAAAGATGTGGACCATCCCAGCATAGCAATCTTGTTATTCAGAGTCAGTTAATGGTAATTCTTATTGTCTCTATTTAGCATTACCAAATATGCAACTTCAAGGTTCTGAAGTTCATTATTCCATAGTATAAAACTAGCCCAGTAGTGACTTCTCTGTAGTTGTTTTTCCTTGCTCTAGCATGTTTCCCCTCCAACATAAGTAAGCGAAAGCTACCAAAGTGATTTAGGGCATCAAAAAGATTAAGAATCTCTGATCTAGATAGAAAAATAACAATTTGGAATTAACCATCAACTGCATTTGGAGTAAAATTTTTGTGAATCTATGTCTTTGGGAACCAGAAGAGATGGCAGAGTGAGAGGGAGCAGTAGAACCCAATTTTTCTTGCACAATCACTTTAGTAAAAATCAAAGG